CCTCCTCTCCCCCCATCCCTCCCTCCCTTGTTCTGCGGAGTAACGGCGGACTGAGACGAAGGTGACAGTGAGGAATAACGAAGAAAGCGACTCAGGCGTTCTGTCATTTTTTCTCTCCTTCAAACACCCAGAGAGAGAGAAGGGGGAGAGGAGGAGGAGGAGGAGGGAGGGAGGGTGACGTTTTTATCTCCCTCTCCCTGTTACACACTTCAAACCCACTCTTTTTTTTTATATTTTATTTCTCAACTTCCCATTTTTTTCCAGCTTTTTTTAATCCTTAATTTAAACACCAACTAAAGCCTCCCTCCAACCTCCCTCACCTCCCTCCCACCCGCTCCCTCACTCCACCCCCTCTACGCCAAACTAAACCAAACCCCCCGCCCCGACTCCATACGTCACGTGGTTCATTAAATTATTAATGCCGAGGTTAAAGAACAGATATGTATTGTGAGGGAGACAGGGGTGAGGCGCGGTGCTCCTCCGGCTGAGGTGGAACATTCAAGTTGGTCTTTCAAAGTGGGGGGGGGAGAGAGAGAGAGAAATAGAGAATACACCCCCCCTCCTCCTACAACAGCGGGGGGAGAGAGAGAGAGAGAGAGAGAGAGAGAGAGAGAGAGAGAGGAAAAGAGAAGGGGGAGAAGAGGAGTCACCAGCAGAGAGGGGGAGAGATAGATAGAGTGAGGGTGAAAAGGGGAGAAGAAGAGCTGCAATAAAACAAATTTGGACGGGAGCGCGTCTTGCGGGTCGCCGTGGAGACCGTGACTACTGCGGAAGGAAGGAAGAAGAAGAAGAAGGAAGGAAGGAAGGAAGGAAGAAGGAAAGGAAGGGAGCCAGAGTGGACTGCAGGCGGAGAACAACTCCTCACATCTTCTCCTCCTTCTACTCCTTCTCCTTCTACTACTGCTGCTCCTGCTCCTGTTTCTGCTGCCTCTTCATCTTCGCTGCCTCTGAAACATAGGCTATTTTTAACAGCCTGGTAAATATGGCCCCTCCTCACCCCTCTCTCCCCCAAATATATCATACTGTACATCCACAGCCATCACCGCCATCATCATTCAGCGGCGTATTATCATCCTGCATGTTGTTGTTTACTGTTGTTTACACATACACACGACCCCCCCACCACCACCACCACCACCACTATCATCAACACCACCATCACCCCCCCCACCCCCCAACATCACCATGATCAGCTATTGTTTATAACCTGCAGTGAAGGATAGAAAGAAAGAAAAGAGTGTAGTTGCTGTTTGGATAGTAGTAGTAGAAGAAGAAGAAGAAGAAGGTGGAGGTGGAGGAGGGGGAGGACCTGGAGTTTCTCCTCCATCACCTCAGGTCTACTTCTACATCTCTCTCTCTGTCCATCCCTCACCCTGCCTCCCCCTCTCGCCGTTCATTTTTACTACTTTTTTCTTGATTTATTGTGAAGCTCGGTGTCAGTGTGTGGCCGCCGCGACCGCTCTGTGTGTGTGTGTGTGTGTGTGTGTGTGTGAGGGAGTGCTGTTGTTTATACTGTTGACCCGGATAAATCACGTTTTTTTTTTCTCTCCCCACTTCGCTGTGCATGGGAAGAAGGGTGAGAGAGGGGGTAAGAAAATGATGCACCGGAACTAGGAAGCTCAGACTCTCCGGAGCGGGGAGACACTGGCTCCTTCTCTCGGCTCCTCTTTCTCTTTCCATTTCCTCTCTCCCCCCCCCACCCCCCACACCCCCTCTCTCTCCATTTCCTTCTCAGCACTTGATTATAACTCCGGGTGTTTTCTTACTCAGTGTGACAGTAGCTGGCCCCGGCCCCGGGTCTTGAATTACTGCGGCGACCAATTAACGGGAGATTTGTTTGAGTGCCAGCGCCCCCCCCCCCCCCGC